ACGAGAGCAAACAGTTTTCTAAATAATCAATCCCTTTCTACAGTCTTGGGTCGCTCCGGACGGATGAATATACAGGGTGAATATGACGACGGTCTGTAAATAATCGAGTCTGGACCAGACAATCCAGTGATTGACATAATGAGCAACCAAGTCTGCGAGCCTAACCACCCGTTACTCGCCTCTTATGGCAAGCATAGCCGCCTTATAAGGCAAACATGGGTTGCTGAAGACCTATTTTACTCCGTATCTTCACGGGTTAGTCCTTGAGATTACGCGGAGTAAGGAAGGGGATCAAGACTAGTCCACTCCAGTCCTTGAGTTCCGATACATCGCGGAGTAAGAAGTCCATTACGACAAGTCCAATCTGGTCGTTGAGGGTTCGTATACATATACGGAGGTAGGAAGCTTGACCTTGAGACTTGGAGGGAAAGCCTGTTGGACAAAGTTTGCTTGATATTAATTCAGAGGATGGCTGTTTGAACATACTTGTATACAGTCACGTTTCTGTTATATACATGGGGACATTATGCACATTATTTGAGCAAGACAGTATAAAGGTGAAGAATAATTTGTGTGTTATACTATCCTGCTATGCCTATATACGTTTTTGACAACTGTTGTCTCAAGTTATAGTGATGTTCTTTTCCCATTTTCAACAGAATCTTGTATATTCTACAGATGTTTGTATCGATTCATTGTTTGCATAATTCAGCATTCAGATACTCACCATTGTCCAGAAGCATTTGTGTAGTTGACAGGAGAGTCAGGTGTGGGAGTCACGAGAAGGTTACAGCTGCGGTAATGGGACCTGTTCACATACAAATTCTGATTAGATGTTGAGTCATATGGAATGGAATGGAAAAGAAACTACAGGTAAGATGTCTTTTTTCTTCGAATAGCCTACAGAGATACAATTAAGATGCATAATATTCAAACATCAAAAATAAGATAGCTGCACGATATATCGCAAAGAACAATGAAGAACGAAGCGTGATTTATTTCACAATAAATCATTGTTCTATCATGACGTCATTTCTGGAGATTCGAACATGCCCTCGCAACATGACGTCGTAAATTGGACGACGTTATTGTTTACAGGGAAGTATCCAGTTAGTTGTTTCCAATAAGCTGGGCAAAGTCGATAAGCGCGATGGCCGAAGGATCGCATCGAAAAGTGGGCGAGATATGACAACCGACACTGTGAGAAAAGGTTGATATAATCGAGAATTGTGAGAATATCCAAGAAAAAACAAAAATTAACCCCCATTTTCATAAATAAACTTGTTCGACATGGCTGAGGTCTGATTGTATTCAGGGAGTCATTATTCGAATACGGGTAAATATTTGTAAAGCTTGTACATCCTATTAACGTCCTTCAAAAGGCTGTTCATAATGTTGATATCTCATAAGAAAATAAAGTTTATAATTTGAAACTCACCTTACGAATTTGTTGTGTTGAAAATACATCCATCTTAATGGACTTGGAATCTGTGTTCCTATCACGTGGTATCTGATGCAAACAAATGGCAGTGGCATCGGGCTGTGGTAATGCGACCTGTACATGAAGACATTGTGATGAGATCTAATTTCATATATACCAGGAACATTCATTTAGAATAGCGTAGACCAGAGGAATGTTCTGGAAAAGAAAATACAGATGGCATGCCCTGTATCTACGAATAAATTTAAGATATAATTAAGATTCATGCCTTTCAAACATCAAATAAAGTATATAGTTTGAAACTCACCCTGTGAATTTGTGCTGAAGATGCATCCCTCTTTGTGGTTGACTTGAGATCACGTGGTATGGGGTGAGATCACGTGGTATGTGGTGTGATCAGGGGCGATGGCATCAGTCGAGGACCGTCCTCCAGTTCAGACATACAATGTATCCAGCAGTAGGTCCACTGGGGTAGTATTGCTCATATAGCACATCATGACGTCATTCACAGACGGGCAAACGACGCTACCCCTCATAATGCCAATAGCATCGAACATGGTTAGGAATGTACTCCGTCTTTAATTTCAAGTGTCGAGAATACTATTTGAAATAAATTGATTCCATAACCAAGGGTAAATAATACTATACAAGAAATACTCGTGTGATAAGAGCTACTCATTTTAAAGTACGTACAACCTTTCTGCTTTATAATCCTTCGAAAACGTAACTGTCTAAAAACGCTAACTAGGTGAGGTGAGGTGAAATGGGGTTTACGTCGCGTCCAAGATTATTGCACTTATATAGCGACGTGCATGCATGTGTATGTGTGTGTGGCTGCTTGTACTAGTCCGGACTGATGCCGATTTAAAGTGCTAGCTCACTGAGATACCATGCCGCAGTTTAACATGAATACCCCACTCAGACACAGTATACTGACTGTGAGCCGACCAGTACTTGTTTTAGCCCCTTAATGCCGAGCGCCAGACAGGGTAACAACAAGTACCATCTTTTAATGTCTATTAGTATGACGCGGCCGGGGATCGAACCCCGGACCTTCCGTTCTCCGGGGGGACGCTCTACCATTAGACCACGGAGGCGGTCTAAACGCTAACTAAATACCACTACCCGAGAAGATGCTTGTGAATACAACCGAGTCGCCGTTCAACTAGAAGGTGTTGGCGGGTGTTTCAGGTAGGAGAACGAGCCATGAAACATAAAACACCCCTCAACACCTTAAAGCCGCCGAGTCATCAGGAAGTACACATGACCATCCAGGTGTTGTAAGTGGACGATCTTCCAGAAAATCATGACTATGTAACACTTATGGGCGATGTATCTGGTCAGTGAGCAATAGTGGCATACGAAATGTGCGTTGCCCCAGTTGGCAGTAGTGACATAAGACGAGCACGAGTACAGTAGCTGCTATTAACAGTACACCATTGATTCCAAGGTATTGCTGTGTAGGTAGAACGTTTACGTTGTAAACTGAGGCACAAACATGTTGAGGTGAAACTGAATTAAAAATGAAGATATGTTCATACGGCCAAAATACAGTGCTGAGATACCTTCGTTATCTGGTACATTATAGGAAGCAATAAACATGTACATGTCAATTTGGTTCAAACATTCCAACAGAAAAATAACCTCTGTAGGCTGCCCTTAGTCGGAACATGGGTATAGAAACGAAGTGTAATTCCTGCACATGAAGCGATGTAATTGGCAGGTGTTAGGGAAGGTAACATTGACTGTACCAAACCTGAAGAAGAAAGAGTATTTTGTTGAACAGAATAATTCAGTGGCTTTTTAAAACGTAGATAATTCCATTTGAGTTGCAAAATAGTTTCGATAATGGACGAACGGATACTATCGACACTTTTTCAACAAAGATATACATAGAAATAACGTCATTTACAACTTGAACTAAAATTAAATGAAGTTCTACTTACGTATGTAGCGGAGAAACGCCTAGTTGACGTGGTTGCCGAGGCTGGCTGGCAACAGTGGGGCGACTCGGGCTGGCAGCAGAGTAGGGCGACTCGGGCTGGTTGGCAACAGTAGGGCAACTGAGGCTGCATAGCAACAGAATAGAACGACTGAGGCTGTTGTGGGTAACAGTAGGGTAACCGAGGCTGGTTGGGTGGCTGGCAGCAGAGTAGGGCTAATGAGGATATCTGGCAACAGAGTAGAACGACTAAGGATGTCTGGCAACAGAACGGCGACTGTAGATTATTCCTTAAGCTCTACAGGACTGGGGATGACTGTCAACTGTCTAACGCCTGTCTGATGAAATCATCTTGTTACTTTGTGACGACACCTGGAGTGAGCAGAAAAGTGTTTCGTTAACATTCATAAAATAACAGCTGTTACAGTTACTTATTAATACTAATTTTAGAAAAAAATAGCATCTGTCTAGTTAATACTTCGACAATTCTACGTGAAACGACTGCAGATTAACACGTGTCCTGCTAACACGCTATTCAAAGCATTCAATTGTAAGAATAAACACACATGCATTGTGTACCATTTCATATCCTTTACACCGCACTTAAAGCATGATGTATTGGGAGTGCAACTTACACCTTCAGGTCGACTATGTTACTTGTGGCTTACAACGATAGCAACGACCCACAATAAATGGGTACTGGGTTTTAATCAAATTCGGTATATTATTTGTTTAGAAAACAAGAAAAGACTATATGAAACTCACGGAAGTCCTCTGTGCTTCGTCCAGAAGACATAGCAACTCCTCGTATGACTGTTTGTTGCCCTCGTTGCTGTTGGCGTTGTTGTCGTTGCCTTTTCCGCCTGACCTGGCGTTGGTTTCTCCGTTCTGTTCTTTGCCTGGCCTCGTCCGGTGTATGGTTCTGAGTGAGAAAAGTCATTGAAAATATAAATGAACAACATTTCATGACTGCGTATAATTATATGTTGTATTAATAGCTGCTAATGACATAAGATTACTTAATAGTTGTGATAAGGAATAGTGTGTGGCAAGTTATGCAATAAAAAAACATTTTTCAGTTTCAAGTGAAACCTGTCAGATCCGTTTTCCCCTTAAATATTTATAAGAAGTTATCTTGACCTTTAAATTATTATATTGTATTCAACTTTCTCTGGCAATGACAATTTTTTTTATCTATTTTAAAATCTAAATGCAACTTTCTTATCTTATTTATTATTATTACATTATTATATATATTCATATATATAAATGTTCTTGTGTGAGCAGGTGAATGTTGTTTAACGCCGCAGACAGCAATATTCCAGCTCTATCACGGCTGCCTGTCATCCGGACCAGTGACAAACGGGCAGCATGAAGTAGCAGATTACTCACAACGGGAACGATTTTAGAAAAAGTATTATGATATGTCAAGAAGCCTTACAACATTGACTTGAGCTAAAAGCAAACAATTCAGGTTTATGGCGAGATTTAGTTTCAACATGAGTGAATCTTTAATGGCTGCCAGTTATGTTTAAGTAGTTGAAAAGCATACTTACTGACTGCACCGTTTCGGTCGCCAATGTAACCGTGGTTCATGCTGTTGCCGATGTTGATCCAGATGCGGTTGTGGGTGTGGGTGTGGGTGTGGGTGTGGGTGTGGATGCGGATGCCGCTGCGGAAGACGTTGCTGAGGCGGATGGCGATGCCGAGGCGGATAACGATGCCATCGTCGATGTCATCAGCGACAACCTAAACAAATGGAATGCGTGTTATATTGCGTTATATATGCACAAGGGATCAGATTGACGGCAATCACAGCTGTTATGAACCCATGGGACATGTTTTATTGTCATGGAGATTGATCTTTACCATATTATAAAACAGCATATCCCCTTTCCCACACACATCCATACCTATAGCCCCAGAAGACAACACAACGCCTAGGTAGTAATGAACTGAATATAAAACAAATGACTGAAATTAACGTGCATGCCACGTCACCCCATCTAACGTCTCACTTTCGACTTTCTCCAACGATCATCTCCTGACTACATATACTACTCAAAAGAAGTTAAGGATCACCTGATTCTTTCATATTACTATAGTTAATCTCTCATGTCATGACAGATTTACTTTACCATTATGAAAGAATCGGGTGATCCTTAACTTCTTTTGAGTAGTATAAGAAGTGAAAGAACACCATAGTCATGGCATGACAGATTATCTGTGGACATATGAGTCGGATGTTCTTTTACTTCTTTTGAGTAGTATTATATTGGAATTTTTTATGCATATACAAATCAGTCGTTTTAAATATAGATCTATTCGATCTTGTTATCTCATCAATGTCCTGTGTTGAAGTTCCGAGAACGGATACATTTGAACATCTGACAGTTACAGTAATAGTCTTGCAGTTTAAGACGCCGTTACATCCTGGTGCAGACAGGATACACCTCTACGGCCTGTGACACTTTGGGCCCACCTCCAACATCGTGGTGCCACGCAATCACAAACATAAAGGACTGATGAAGGCGGCGTTAAACCTAAACATATTCATTGTGGTTGACTTACATTTCCTTTCAGACGCCGGTTTTCTTCTTTTAGTTCCCTGATATCCTCTTGTAATTTCCGGCTTTCCTCTCGGAGTTTCAACAATTCCGCGGATTCAGAAACCTGTCAAACATAAACAAATGTCAAATATTGCCCAAACAATGAACTTACACATACTGCCGGGGAAAGGAGAGTGACAACCATGCGTGATGGTGGCTAACAATGAAACAATCAAGGGACGGTTTATTCCATGGTGATGTTTTTGATACAGCTGTCATAGTTGTGTTCATGACCAGAACTGTAGAAAACCCCGTGCTATGACAGTAAATCAAACTTCCATTTCACTTTCAACGCGACGTTTTGGTGTATATGTTTGTACATTTTACAAGCAAGTTAAACAATAACTGGATAGGACATGGTCATGCATATATTGCTACAAAAACAAAGAGTTAAACCAAATGAATATATAGGATAACACACGATGACCGTAACACAATATTGCCCAGTAGCCCTTATGTCATACACCATACCATTGATGGTACAAGAAAACTGAATCACAGACTTTGGAACGCTGGGGTAGCGTAACGAGTAAAGTGTTCGCCTGACACGCAAAACGACTTAGGTTAGATCCTTCCCCGCCGTGATATTGCTGGAATCCGCTCACTCAGAAGCGTAACAAAAATAAATAGATTCAGAGATAAACGATTGCATCAATGACATACGCAGTAGGCATGTCAAGTACATGTAGAACGGGTATCGAGACGTTGCTTGAAGAGGATGAACTCTATGAGGTTAATGTGTTTACTTACATCCACTGGAGTCGCCCCCGATGTCGTGCCCCAGCCTACTCTCAGATGGTGTGACGAAGGGCGTGGTCACCATTGGGATGGCAAAAGGCGTTGTCGACGATGATGATGTTACCCTTGAGGATGCCGGAGTAGTGTCCTGTTGGATCTGAGGAGTTTCTTGTGGAGTGGCCTGTCGAGACGGAGGCGCCTGGGCTAAAGGCTGTACAAAAGTGCGAAGAACGTTCAACATGATGGAAAGCGAGTAAATGTAGCGAAGAGAACGATAGGATGAACTACAACCGTGATGAATCCTGGGAAGTATCCGTGTTATACACTGGCCCATTTACACCAATTAAGCCAACAAGCCCGTGCCCGCGGCCTTATGGGTATTCAGTATCAATCAACTGAGAGAGAATACATGGGCTATCCTCTTGTCAAATCGCAACCCTTAAAACAATGGAATCTGTAGATGGACATGTCGAGCACGGGCTACTCGTGAAACACGCCATGCTCTTGGAACACCTCGGGACACATTTCTACACACTGGAAACCAAATTAAACCCCAGCGCATAACTATAACGAGTATATTTTCCTCAATGTATGTATATCTTCTCATTTTCTATAAACGTTCATTGTCAACACGGTGATTCTTCGATATTAACAAAAGCCATGTTGGTCTTAAATTTTACATCTCACTGTTGGTGTGCAATGATTCCTCTTACTTGACGTACATTATGGTACATTATTCAATGTTGAAAACTTAACTACAAAGACAGTTAAATCCGACTTGGTGTTGATTGAACATTGGTTTATCATTTAATTTACAGACAAAACAAAAATGACGAAAAACGTCAGGCACAAGCAGGGTCCGATCCTGCGCAGAAGGTTCAGAAGGCTCACGAATATGTTCTCCTGCAACGGTGACATGGACAAAACTTTGATAAAAAATAAAATATTGTATTTATATACGAGTGATTTGATAGCTTTTCGTTAAAAAATACGTATAGAACTAAAAGTACTTTTGTTCTTGACCAGGGCGATGTTTGTTCATAAATGGCCGCCAACATAGACATTAAGTGTATTATGATCGATAATGTGTTCGATTTTGTTTTATATGAATTGTCTCAAGACCAAAGGACTTGCATTCCACAACCCGAGTCGACAAAGACAATAACATGTTACCTTGATGACCTAGATACGCATAACGATGAATTACCTTGATGAGATACACGGTGCGGAGACCACGTGTATATATACAACATCATGTAGCACTGATGGTATACCCCCTACCTAGACTTATATGCAACAACATGTAGCTCTGATGGTATACACCCTACCTAGACTTGTATACAACATCATGTAGCTCTGATGGTGTACACCCTACCTAGACTTATATACAACAACATGAAGCCCTGATGGTGTACACCCTGCCTAGACTTGTATACAACAACATGTAGTCCTGATGGCATACAGCCTACCTAGACTTGCATACAACTACATGTAGCACTGATGGTATACACCCTACCTAGACTTGTCTACAACAACATGTAGCCCTGATGTTATACACCCTACCTAGACTTGTATACAACAACGTGTAGCCCTGATGGTGTACACCCTACCTAGACTTATATACAACAACATGTAGCACTGATATACACCCTACCTAAACTGGTATACAACATCATGTAGAACTGATATACACCCTACCTAGACTTGTATACAACTACATGTAGCACTGATGGTATACACCCTACCTAGACTTGTATGCAACAAAATGTTTCTCTGATGGCATACACCTTACCTAGACTTGTATACAACAACATGTAGCCCTGATGGTATACACCCTACCTAGACTTGTATACAACACCATGTAGTCCTGATGGCATACACCCTACCTAGACTTGTATGCAACAACATGTAGCACTGATGGTATACACCCTACCTAGACTTGTATACAACAACATGTAGCTCCGATGGTATACACCCTGCCTAGACTTGTATACAACAACATGTAGTCCTGATGGCATACACCCTAACTAGACTTGTATACAACATCATGTAGCTCTGATGGCATACACCCTACCTAGACTTGTATATAACAACATGTAGCACTATTGGTATACACCCTACCTAGACTTCTATACATCAAAATGTAGTCCTGATGGCATACACCCTACCTAAACTTGTATACACCAACATGTAGTCCTGATGGCATACACCCTACCTAGACTTGTATACAACAACATGTAGCACTGATCGCATACACCCTACCTAAACTTGTATACAACAACATGTAGCCCTGACATACACCCTACCTAGACTTGTATACAACAACATGTAGCCCTGATGGTATACACCCTACCTAAACTTGTATACAACAACATGTAGTCCTGATAGCATACACCATACCTGGACTTGTATACAACAACATGTAGCACTGATGGCATACACCTTACCTAAACTTGTATACAACAACATGTAGCCCTGATATACACCTTACCTAGACGTGTATACAACAACATGTAGCCCTGATGGTATACACCCTACCTAGACTTGTATATAACAACATGTAGCTCTGATGGCATACACCCTACCTAGACTTGTATACAACAACATGTAGCACTGATGGTAAACACCCTGCCTAGACTTGTATACAACAACATGTAGCACTGATGGCATACACCCTACCTAGATTTCTATACAACAACATGTAGCGATGATGGCATACACCCTACCTAGACTTGTATATAACAACATGTAGCTCTGGTGGTATACGCCCTACCTAGATTTCTATACAACAACATGTAGCGATGATGGTATACACCCTACCTAGACTTGTATACAACAACATATAGCCCTGATATACACCCTACCTAGACTTGTATACACCAACATGTAGCACTGATGGCATACACCCTACCTAGACTTGTATACAACAACATGTAGCCCTGATATACACCCTACCTAGACTTGTATACAACAACATGTAGCACTGATGGCATACACCCTACCTAGACCTGTATACAACAACATGTAGCTCTGATGGCATACACCTTACCTAGACTTGTATACAACAACATGTAGCCCTGATGGTATACACCCTACCTAGACTTGTATACAACAACATGTAGCACTGATGGTATACACCCTACCTAGACTTGTATACAACAACATGTAGCTCCGATGGTATACACCCTGCCTAGACTTGTATACAACAACATGTAGTCCTGATGGCATACACCCTAACTAGACTTGTATACAACAACATGTAGCGATGATGGCATACACCCTACCTAGACTTGTATATAACAACATGTAGCTCTGGTGGTATACGCCCTACCTAGATTTCTATACAACAACATGTAGCGATGATGGTATACACCCTACCTAGACTTGTATACAACAACATATAGCCTGATATACACCCTACCTAGACTTGTATACACCAACATGTAGCACTGATATACACCCTACCTAAACTGGTATACAACATCATGTAGAACTGATATACACCCTACCTAGACTTGTATACAACTACATGTAGCACTGATGGTATACACCCTACCTAGACTTGTATGCAACAAAATGTTTCTCTGATGGCATACACCTTACCTAGACTTGTATACAACAACATGTAGCCCTGATGGTATACACCCTACCTAGACTTGTATACAACACCATGTAGTCCTGATGGCATACACCCTACCTAGACTTGTATGCAACAACATGTAGCACTGATGGTATACACCCTAACTAGACTTGTATACAACAACATGTAGCTCCGATGGTATACACCCTGCCTAGACTTGTATACAACAACATGTAGTCCTGATGGCATACACCCTAACTAGACTTGTATACAACATCATGTAGCTCTGATGGCATACACCCTACCTAGACTTGTATATAACAACATGTAGCACTATTGGTATACACCCTACCTAGACTTCTATACATCAAAATGTAGTCCTGATGGCATACACCCTACCTAAACTTGTATACACCAACATGTAGTCCTGATGGCATACACCCTACCTAGACTTGTATACAACATGTAGCACTGATCGCATACACCCTACCTAAACTTGTATACAACAACATGTAGCCCTGACATACACCCTACCTAGACTTGTATACAACAACATGTAGCCCTGATGGTATACACCCTACCTAAACTTGTATACAACAACATGTAGTCCTGATAGCATACACCATACCTGGACTTGTATACAACAACATGTAGCACTGATGGCATACACCTTACCTAAACTTGTATACAACAACATGTAGCCCTGATATACACCTTACCTAGACGTGTATACAACAACATGTAGCCCTGATGGTATACACCCTACCTAGACTTGTATATAACAACATGTAGCTCTGATGGCATACACCCTACCTAGACTTGTATACAACAACATGTAGCACTGATGGTAAACACCCTACCTAGACTTGTATACAACAACATGTAGCACTGATGGCATACACCCTACCTAGATTTCTATACAACAACATGTAGCGATGATGGCATACACCCTACCTAGACTTGTATATAACAACATGTAGCTCTGGTGGTATACGCCCTACCTAGATTTCTATACAACAACATGTAGCGATGATGGTATACACCCTACCTAGACTTGTATACAACAACATATAGCCCTGATATACACCCTACCTAGACTTGTATACACCAACATGTAGCACTGATGGCATACACCCTACCTAGACTTGTATACAACAACATGTAGCCCTGATATACACCCTACCTAGACTTGTATACAACAACATGTAGCACTGATGGCATACACCCTACCTAGACCTGTATACAACAACATGTAGCTCTGATGGTATACGCTCTACCTAGATTTCTATACAACAACATGGAGCGATGATGGTATACATCCTACCTAGACTTGTATACAACAACATATCGCCCTGCTACCACCCTACCTAGACTTGTATTTAACAACTTGTAGCTTGGTGGCATACACCCTACCTAGACCTGTATACAACAACATGTAGCTCTGATGGCATACACCCTACCTAGACTTGTA